GCACAAGGTAAATAGTGGGAATAATACTTGCAGACCTTAAATTGCACCATAAATCAAGATTATTTGGTACTTACTGGCCTTAGAGTGGCCTTTTCCCAATCCTCATCCTCTTTGACCTCTCTGCAGCTTTGGGCATTATCAGTCACCTTCTTCTGAACATTCTTGCCTCTCAAAGTTTTCATGACATTGTTCTTTCCTTTTTCTATCTCTCTGATCCCTCCTCTTTTCAGTCTCCTTGCTAGACCTTTATCTAGGTCCTCTACTTAACCAAGGGTGTCCCCTAAGGTTCTGTCCTTGGCCTACCCTCTTCTCTCTCTACCCTGTTTTGTTTGGTGATGTCATAAATTTCAGTGTTTTCAGTTATCATCTCTCTGCAGATGATTCCCAGATCTTTTTATTCAGCCCTCACCTCTCTCCTAACTTTCAGTCTTTCATTACCAACTACCTTTTGGAAATCACGAACTGGATATCCCATAGACATCTCAAACTCAGCATGTCCCAAACAATTCATTATTTATGCCCCTAAAAACATTCCCTTCTTCTTAGCTTCTCTGTACTGTTGAGGGCACCAGCTTCCTCCCAATTACCCAGGTTCCCAACTTTGTTGTCATCTTCAACTCTTAATGCATTTTGAGTAATGGTCTGGATTCCAAAGTGCATTACAAGGAAGGGCACTTATGTTGTTCGGGGAAAACCTGAGGAATGTGGGATTCGGTATAAGTCTCTAGTCACACACAGCCTTAGTGTCCAGGAGAAGAAAGTACCTTTGAGATAGGGGGTGCCTGAGTCCAGACCTTGTGTTCCACTTTCTCTGAGACATACATAGTTCCAGAAGTAGAGGCGGCTGCTTACGTTATTAATCCTAGCATTGGTCAAAGACAGAATGTCTCAAGAACAAACCCCAGCTCAAGAGAGAGCAGCAAAAAGAAAAGGAAGGAAGCAAGCAAGCAAGCTTGATTGAAGGGCATGCCGTTTGAGGGAATGACAATAGAGTGTCTGGAGAGGGTGGACACAAGGCACAATCTCTCAAGTCCCAGGTACTATTGGGCAACCCAAACCCATAAAGTGCAAAAAGCTTTAGGGTTGACTGGAGTAAGGAGGACCAGACGTTGGGGGAAGGAGTGGGAATCAGGACGTAGGATATAAATCAGGGTTCAGGGGCTGATGCTGATTTGTATTGGGAAGAGACACCTAGGAAAGTGGGTGATAAAGGAGCTCCAGAGCCTCCTCTGTGGCTTATTATGTTAGTTGGGAGGCTACTAAAGTCCTTACAACTCCCTACTCTTACTCATCCCACATATCCAGTTTGTTGATAAGTCTTGTTTCTACCTTCACATTTCTTTTCTAGGTCCCCTTCTCTCTATTCCCATAATGTGACCACATGGTACAGGGCTCCATCACTTCATGACTATTGGAAGGGCTGCTGGTTGGTCTTCCTGCTACCCTTCAGTTGTGCTCCTCACCCTCTTCACTGAGTGCTAGTCACTTGGTAAATATTTGTAGATTCCTTGTCATTTAAAGGGCACAAATTTCCTCACAAATTAGGAAAGGAGAGAGGAAAAGGTGGATGTAAAATCAGGGCAGTGTTCCCCTTCTTCGTTGAGTTTCATCTGTCTCTTTCCATTCTAAGCTCAGAAGTAATCAAGACTTACCACCGATTCTGTCATTGTGGCATAAGAGTTAATCTGTCTGATAAAATGACTTAATCAAAGTCTCTGAGAAATGTGTCAGGCTGGGAGTGAAAACAGAGTACCAGCACCTAGTTTGGGTATTTCGGTGCTACGATTTCTGCTCATTTTACTAAATTGCTTTCTTGTCTTCAGCTAACCTGATAATCCTTAAAACTTGACAAAATCTAAGAATCTGAGTTTGAAGGGACTTTTGAAGCCTCCTAGTCTGACTTGTAGCTGAACTAGCTCCTTGCGATGTTTTCTTCCTTAGACTTAATCTGGACACCAACCCCGCAGACTCCAATGATAGAGAAGTCCATCGACATCTCAGTCTCTGTAGCCTCTTGGTTAACATACAGTTCCTCTGTTTTGCCTTCTCACCCCAAGGCAGCATGATTATCCTCCCCTGGGTTTTTGTGACTGCTCTTGGTTCTTCTACGACCTTTCTGAGGTTCAGCCATATCTTACGACCCCTAATTGTAGGTATCCATTGAGGTGTTTCCTCGGCCCACGTCTCTTCTTTCTTTCCGTTCTCTAATTGATGAAAACCTCACCAGTGCCTGTGGTTTTTAATGATCGTTTCCGTGCAGATGACTCCCACATTTTTCTGTCTCTCATCCATCTCCATAGTCTGAGTTTCTGTCGTTCTAACTGCCTGTTAGTTATTTCACACGTGACGGCCCATGGGTGCCTCCCATATCCACCCCTCTTTTGGCAGCTAGGTGTCACAGAGGCTAGAGTGTTGGACTGGTTTGAGAAGCCTTGAAGTGCTGTATACATGCTGAGTCTCTTGTTAGGCAGTGGTGCCACGTGTGGCGCGTTGGATTTGCGGTCAGGAAGATCTTAGACACTTGGCTCTAGCTGTGTCACACTTTGATCGGCTAGGTGGCCCATTACATAGAACATTGGCCCTGGAGTCAGGAGGGTCTGAGTTCAAATGTAGCCTCAGACACTTCCTAGCTGTGTGACCCTGAACAAATCACGTAACCCTGTTTGCCTCAGTTTCCTCATCTGTAAAATGAGCTAGAGAAGGAAATGGCAAACCACTCCAATATCTTAAGTGTGGTCGTGGAAATTCGGACACAACTAAAACAACTCAACAAATTGTGTGATCCTGTCAAGTCTCTGCCTCAGTTTCCCTCATCTGCAAAATGGGCATAATAATAGCACCTACCTCACAGCGGTGTTGTGAGGAACAAATGAGATGCTTTGCAACCTTAAATTACTGTGGGGGCAGCTAGGTGGCACAGTGCATAGAGCACCGGCCCTGGAGTCAGGAGGACCTGAGTTCAAATGTGGGCTGAGACACTTGACACTACCTGTGTGACCCTAAGCAGGTCACTTCACCCCTCCAAAAAAAATTACTATGTAAATGCCAGCTGTTGTTATTATTATTATTGTTGTTGTTGTTGTTACTTTTCTGTTGAGGGTACCACTTTTTATCCATTCCTCCAGGTGTGTAACTTTGGCAATATCTTTGATTGTAACTTGAACTCATATTACATATTCAGTGTTTTTGGAATAAAATTTTATTGATATCTTTTGTTTTTAAGTCATTTGCATTTCCCACAGCATCTTTCCCAAAGAGTTATTCCTTAAAATAAAAATTTTTTAAAGTTCTTCGTGGCCAGGCCTGTCCTTTATATGATTTCCCAACATTCATCATCAGGGTTTATTTTGTTGTTGTTGTTGTTGTCATCATTGTCTCCATTTCCATTGTTACAACAGCTTATCCCCATTCCCCACCTCAGCCAATTCTAGTGGCTTTCTGTTGCCTACCTCTAGAATGAAATAGAAATACCTCTCTTCAGCTGTTAAAGTCCTATACAGGTTGGCCCTAGCTGGTCTTCCAGCTTTATTGGACATGGCTCCTTCCCCACAATGTGTTCTAGCCAAACTGGCTTTCTGTCTATCTCCTATCTCAGTGCTTTTGCACCGATCATCCTGTGTTTCTCCCTCCTTTCCTCGACCTCACAGAGTCACATTTTTCCTTTGGGTTGCAGCTCAAACACCATCTTCATGATCTCCCCAACAGCTAATGTCTTTCCTCCAGATCAGCTTTGAATTTAGTGATTTTGTTTATTCTGTATATATTTGTATATGAATTTGTTTTCTCCCCCAATAGAATGTAGGCTCATTTTGCAAGTAAGAATTGCTATATTCTTTGTACTTGTTGTATCCCCAGCATTTAGCCCAGCATCAGGCAAATAGTAGGTACTTAAGAAGTACTTGTTGATTGGTTGATTTTAGTCATTGAGTATATTGTTTTCCTGGTTCTGCTTACTTCACTTCATATTAGCTTGGTTAAATCTTTTCATTCTTTCCATGTCTTCTAAGCTGCTTCCTTACTTTGATGGGAAATTTAAAAAAATTTTTGGGTAGCATTTGGTTTTTCACAATCTGAACTCATGGTATTTCTTAGGACATGGTGTGTGTGTGTATTTGATCCTGATATCTTAACTAAAGCCTACTAGGATTTATTTTGATGAATTCTTTTAGTACTCATATTGGATTACTGTGGAAACTTGAAGGGAATCAGAATAGTGGATTATTGTATTTAAGTCTTATTAAAATTGTGAATAATTTAATTAGTATACATTCATTTCAAATCCCATTTCAGATAATACCCAGTTCTTTAAACTTTGTCAAATCATATAGTTTTGTTTTTTTCTTCGAGGCAGTGGGGTAAAGTGATTTGCCCAGAGTCATACAGCTAGTAAGTGTCAAGTGTCTGAGGCAAGATTTGAACTCTGGTCTTCTTGAATCCAGGGCCAGTGCCCTATCCACTGTGTCATCTAGCTGCCCCGAATCATATGGTTTTTGAAAAAGCTAATTCCAAATTTCATTTTGTAGATTTTGTTTTTACAAAATGGGTATGTTAATGAAGTGGTCTACAGAGGAAATTTTCTGAATCAGATAACATTTTAAATTAGCTGAAGAAGCTTGTTATCGTTTTGTTTTTGTTTTTTCCAATATGAATTTTCATATGTGGAGAGTTAGCTTTAAATGAGCGCATCTGTATTATGCCTGACCATCTTCCTGTTCTGAAATGTTTAAGGAACCTACTCTCATCTATGAAGCAGTTATGTAGTTTATTTGTCTACGTCCCTCACACTTTACCATCTCTGGGTATGACTTGTGGCATCCCTTTCTTTAGAGTGGTGTCCCACACTCATTGGTCTTGAGTTTTATAAGTTTAGATGTTATTCCCTGCATTAAAGAACCTATTTTTAAAAGCATAGTGGGAATATGTGGGTTTTTATCTTTACACTCATTTTGACAGTGTTTTTATAACTTACATCTTTTTTCTTTTCCTGTTTTCTCTTCTAGCCTGACAATGAAATTTCATCAGATTGCAACCATGTAAGTATAGATTTCATGTGTGTTTGCTTTGAACCTTATGATTGTAGATATTGTAGGCTAGCTCCCTGGAGTTGTTCACTTAAAGCATTCTTAGTTACCTTAACAGAGGGCCATGTTCAACTTTTTCTTTTTTTTTTCCCCAGCTTTCTGATAGTACACATAGGCATTCCTTATTTTCAGGAATCTGGAAATGAAGAAAAGTGCATCTGTCAGATTGAATATATGAGATTTTTTTCCCTACATATTACATGAATTTAAATGGCATCTACAGAAGAATTGTAATGTTGAATCATCGAAGTTCTGTAAAACATTGTAAATGCTGAAACAAAAGAAGAGAAAAGGAGACTGTGTTTACAAACTATCACTTATGAGATTCAGTAACAAATAATCAAGTATTGATTGTATTTGTATTTCCCGTAAAAGAAAGATCTAGTAATATTGTGAATTATATTTTCTTCCTATTTTAATTTCTAAAAGGAACACCTTACCCCTATTATTTGTTGTTTATATTAAAATAAAGAGCGAAAGAATACTAGAATATTCAGCCATTGACATTATGCTCATTGGCATAGACTTGTCTTAATGAAAGGAGAATTTTTACTCACAAATCACTGAGTTAATTTACAGAGCACTATACTGTTTTGAGGCTTTCAGTATTAGCTTAGTGTGACGCTGAAGATATTCCAAAGGCTTTTGCTCTTGGTAGGAAATCCCTATCTAGTCTCATAATACGTCTTTATTTTACATTGAATGTTTCAGGCTTGTTCTGAGATTCATATTTATTGTTCTTTGCTATCTACCATTGTCTAAACTCTCAAACTGGCAGAAAGTTTTGTTCTGGACAGTTATTCTGTAAAAAATAGATGTGAGTAACAATGGGTCAGGCATAAGTAAGAAATATTTTTTAACTACAAGTATTTAGTATGTATCAAGCACCTTACTAGGTGCGGGGGCTGCAAAGATTCACATTAAATCACCTCTACCCTCAGCAACCTTATGTTCTATTGTAGGGCAGGATTTCTTTGCCAGAAGCCAAAGCTGTACTTTTCTAATAATGTGAATCACATCTATTATTGAAAGACCAGGAGAGCTAAGCTTCCTGACTCCATCAGCCAGAACTCAGTTTCTGATCACTAGTCATGTTAAAAAATTGATTTTTTTACTTGGAAGTTCTCATTAAGCAAACTTACTTAGTGAACAGTAGAATGGAAGATTGGCAGGCAGGTTTTGAGGCATCAGCTTTTATATCATTTTGGTTCTGTAGATTAATTGTTCAGTTGTGTCCAGTTCCTTGTGACTACTTTTAAGGTTCTCTTGGCAAGGGTACTGGAGTGGTTTGCCATTTCCTTCTCCAGCTCATTTTACAGATGAGAAAACTGAGGCAAACAGGTGGTTTACCAAGGGTCACGTGGCTAGTAAGTGTCTGAGGCTGGATTTGAACTGGGGTCTCCTGATTCCAGGCCTGCAGTGTATCTACTTCACTACCTAGCTGCCCCATTAATTGATATTAATTGATAGATTTTAATTAATACTATAACATAACTGTTATGTTTCTCATAGTGTCCTTGGGCATTAGTTGATCAAATGTAGCATGTCTCTGTTTTACAGTGGCTTCAAATTCTAGTTGATTGGTATTACCACTTTTTAAAACTAAAATCCTCTCACAGATTTGCCACTAACTGGTTCCTGTATTCATGTTTGTAGAGAGCCAAATGATGTGCTCCATATAAAATGTAATCTGGTATGAAAAGACTTTCAAGGGTGGGCAGTGATCCTCAGGATGTGTTCAGTATAGAAAATCCTCATTTAAGATTGGAGTTGAAACCTTTTTCGAGTGGGGCAGTGGTTCCGTTGGGATGCAGGTCTTCATCTTGAGTTCAAGATAACATTTAGATTTTACAGCATAACCAAATACTCAAATGACTGATGTATGCAAAGTAATAAAAATTCAATATCAAGAATATTGAATAGGGGCACTAGGTGGCGCAGTGGACAGAGCACCAGCCCTGGACTCAGGAGAACCTGAGTTCAAATCGGGTCTCAGACACATAACATTCGCTAGCTGCATGGCTCTAGGCAAGTCACTTAACCTCAGCTGCCTCACCCCCATCCCCCACCCCCTCAAAAAAAGAAGTATGATATTGTTTACTTTCAAGGATTCCTTCCCCACTCCACGTGCCTTGTATTTATTTCATATTTATTCTGTATGTATGTTCATATTGTCTTAGGAGATAAATATACATGTTCCTGTTTCACTTTTTTGTATTTGCTTTCCCAGTGCCTGGCACGTAGTAATTGCAGTAAATGCTTATTGGTAGAACATATAATCAAGTTGAGGTGTCAAGGCTTAAACATATAAAAGGATAATGTACAATGAACGTAGGATATTAATTTCCATGATGAGGTTTTATTCTGTTTTGAACAGGTGGCCTAGATATTTTCTTCTACAGTAATATTTCAAGGACTAGTGAAAAACCAAACCAAATATTGTCTACAAAATTTACTATGTTACTAAATTGTGGAAGAATCCAGGAAATAGAGAATCTAGCTCAAATAAACTGGCCTGTAACCTATAGGAATAAGTTAAATGGATTTCATTTGCAAAGGATTGAAAAATAGCCTGGGAACACAATGGTAGCATATTTTTGGAAAGATACATATATGGTCTTATTGTTTGAGGGTAAATCATGTGCCCCTAACAATTTGCTAGTCTCCCTAATAAAACGTTTATCATATCAGCCCATAGCGTGGGCTAGATGGTTGAATGCATATGCTGGCCATTTAAATCAATTGATGAATAGGTATGGAGTTCCTACTACATGTCCAGTAATGGATGTCTAAACATCAGTCACTTTCATGTCCGTTGTATCTCTTAGATTGCCTGGATTCTTTTCAGGTGCAGTTGTGTATAACTTGATGCTCTGCTGTGTCCTCCTCCTCCATTCTTTCCCATTTCATTTCCCCAGACTATTGAAGCTCTTGAATCTGTGCTTGAGCTTTTGCAATGACAAGGGAATGTTGAAAACACGGATAGGAGCACCTCAGTACTCTTTAAAGCATTTCTTTGTTGAGGAATAGATATTATTCCTGCTGGCCTTTGGAGAGGAAAATATCTCCCCAAAACCTTGTACTTATTTGGTGCCCTCCCCATTTTAGCCAAGCTCAAAAGACAAATTTTGGAGACTGCTTTTCTGTTTCTGAATTTGAATGTGGACAAGTTACTGGTTTGGTTCTAAGAACTGCCTGAACTGGGTCCTTTCATATAAAAAGGGCTAGAGGAAAAAAGATAGGTTCCTACTAGATGATGATTTGATTTCCCTCCGTAAAATTGACCTGTTGTTGACCCAGTGTTAATAAAGCTGATACTAAAACCCTGGAATCTGTGCTTAAAATTGGCATGTCCTATCTATGTTTTGTTTTTTCCCTGCATTTCCTCGCATTTGTAAAAGCTGTGATTATCTTGCTCTTTCGATGATTGAGTCCAAAGCTTTGTGTGTATTTTTGAAAGGTGTCTTATTAGTGGTTTTACTTTTATTCCCTCAGCATTTTTCTTCCTTACCGCTAAGAATGTAGTAACTTGTAATCTCAGTGTCTTCGTTACTTTGGGATATAGTTGTATTTTATCTGCCTCTCTAAAATGGACTCTTTTTCTTTTGCAGTAATTTAACTAGTAATGGTGCTAAATGTTCCATCATCTTAACCTGGCTTTTTTCCCCTCCTTTGCCCCAGTTATTATGGAATTATAAACTGAATCTAACTACAGACCCAAAATTTGAATCTGTGGCCAGAGAAGTCTGCAAATCTACTATATCAGAAGTAAGTTATAAATGAATTTGTGGGTGGGTGGGATTTGCTGGGGAAAATATTTATATGCTAGACCAAATGTATAAGGGAAAGAACTGATAACGTTTTCCTTTTTATGTAATTTGTGCTTGTTTTTTTGTAGGGTGGGGTGGAGTTGAGATAAAAAGCCAGTTAGAAGCTTTATAAAGCAGGATAAGCCAATGGGCTAAAAATACTGTACAGAAAAAGCTCACCATGTGACTACTGTTCTTCCTTAGGACCTGCTTGATTCAAACTGGAAATCATGAAGTCTTTTTGATAGCCAAATGAGTCCCCATAAAATTCACTAACAAAATAGCTGTTCTTGCTGCTGTATTCTCAGATTTTACAGCCCACCTGGGCCTGAAGCACATTAAATGTGGTCCCCAAACATTGGGGTCCCAGAAAGCACCCTAACATTGAAGTTACTGGTTCTTTTCTTCTTCTTCTAAAAAAAAGTTCTTTGGGCTTTTTCCTCTAGCCATACATGGGTTTGGTGGTTTTTTTTGTTTGTTTTTGTTAGGCAGTTGGGGTTAAGTGACTTGCCCAGGGTCACACAGCTCATAAGTGTCAAGTCTGAGGCTGGATTTGAACTCAGGTCCTCCTGACTTACATTTCCAACAATTCAGTCTTGGACCATAGAGGCAATAGGAGATGACATTCATAGTAGAACTCAAACATATGGTGCTGCCAAATTTGGCAGATATGATAATATAATAGTAGTATTACCTTGATGTTGTATAAAATCCATCCTGATTGGCAATCAATATAACACAAAAATATTTGGGCTGAAAGTAAGTTGTAGGGGCCCGTCTCATTTTAGATGGATAGTCTTATGGGCCGGGTCCAGAGCAGACCTTCCAATAAAGTGGGGAAGAACCTGTCCTATTTTCACATTTTGTTAGAAAAAGCAACTTCTACTGTCCAAAATTAAATACCCCTACCCATGCCACAGTTAGAGAGTATCTAATTGAAATTCCATTTATAAGAGCCTAGCACTGTACTGGTCACTAATGATATGCTTGATGATGAGTCTCTTTGTGACCTTCTGAGGTCTTAGGTTTTGGAAGAATGAAGAGTAAGGGTGGTTCTCTTTGCTCAGTAGAGAGTTAATGCTGGAGCCAGGTAAAGGACATAGCAGCAGTCAGGGGGTTCCCTGACTCTCTCATCTCTTGGTTCTGAGAGTTCTGGCTTCCAAAGAGCAAACAAGTACACAGGAAACTCTCTGGGCTCATTTGCTTGTGCCACAATTACACCAAATGCTGTCTGCTTTTCATTTGTCTGATGTCATTAATGGAGCTCATTTCATACTTGTAATACATTCTGAACTTGCTCTGTAATAGCAGTGATAGTAGAATCGATTGGGCTCTACCTCTTCGAAGTGCGATGGCAGGTCTGGCATAACTAGTCTTCTAATAGAATCCTAATGACTTCACACAGTACTAATTTGTGGCGAATTAGGATAGAAGAGGCCCCACCTGAAGATACATGCCTGACCTGTGATGGAGCTTGTAACTACCCAGCTGCAACACCCGCAGCAGTACAGAATACTTGTCGTACCCATTACATTCCCATTGATCTTAGGATTTTTGCCAAGTAACTATAATAGCCTGAATACCAACTTGAAAATGTGATTGTCTCAGGCCATTGTGAGATTTAGTTTTGATTTTACTGGATTTGAAACATACTTTTAAGCAGAAATGATGCAAAACATGCAGCTATCCCAAATAAGAAAGAATGTGTTTTCTCTTTTGCTTAACAAGCTATGAGTTTAACCTGAAACAGCAGTCTGCTTCCCTCTGCACTGGATTAGGGCATGAAATCATTACTGCCAGCTTCACATCTTGTTTCTGGATTTTCAGATTCCCTAGAGATTGCTCCCTAGACCAGTTAGAGCCACTGTATCCTTTGCCTGGCTTGAAGAATCACTAAGCAGTTTTATGTATCAAAACTTGAGCTGTTAAACCATCTCTTCAGAAGCAAGTTCTTTGGCTGAGCTAAAAATCTTAAGTGTTGCTTGTAGAGGGCACAGTGATGTGAATCCATCTAAAACACCATTAATGTTATTTAAGATTAACATAACCTGCTGATTTAAAACTATTTTCTTTTGAACAGATTAAAGAGTGTGCTGAAGAACCAGTTGGGAAGGGCTACTTAGTCTCCTGTTTGGTGGATCATAGAGGCAACATTACCGAATACCAGTGTCATCAGTATATAACTAAGATGACAGCCATTATCTTCAGTGATTATCGTCTGATCTGTGGCTTCATGGATGACTGCAAAAATGACATCAACATTTTGAAGTGTGGCAGCATCCGTCTTGGAGAAAAGGTATCCACAACATCATAATGGCCAAAAGGGTCTCTTGGATTTACAGGATTTAAAAGATTTAGGAACCCAGTGTTACAGAAATTAAATATATAATAGGGCCATAGAGGTCTCCAGCCCAACTTTCCCATTAAAAAAACCCAAAAAACAGTCACAGCTGCCTCCCCTTTCTCTGCCTCTGGAGTGATGGGATTAAAATTTACACTAGTTGGGATGTCTTTAATGGCCAGGATCTGAGCCCTGAGGCTGTTTCCTCCTAAGAAATAGAATGGGGAAATGGAAGAAGCCTTACATAGCAGCCACAGTCTGGCCTTCCCTTAACCATCTTATCACACTGTTATGTGACTACCCATTCTATAAATCTCTGAGTTACTGTTCAGGAAAATGTGTTCTTATCTCTTTCTTGAAATAGAGAATGTGGAGATATGGTTTATCTGGTTTGCTTTATAAAGTATTTTAAATATTTATCTGAGGCATAGGAAGGAGAATTATTCTGTGCTTAAGAATCTTCAAAATGGTGAGGTAGTTCTTAATTATTAATCAAGAAGCATTTATTAAGCACCTATTCACTTTGCTGAAGGAACCTGCACTTAGACAAAAACAATAGTGCCTGTCCTCAAGGAGTTTACATTCCAGTGGAGGAATATAAACCTATATAATATAAATATGTGCATATTTAGGTTTATATAAAATAAATGCAATTTCCTTGGGAGGGGACAAGGCCAGGCCCTTTGTCTAGAAGATAACACTTGAGTATAATTTTTAAGAAAATCTGTGGTTCTAGTAGGCAGAGGTTTGGAAGGAAACAAGGCACATAACCAGTGCAAAGGCATAAAGATGGCAGATGGCATATCGTGTGTGAGGGGCAGCAGGTTGGCCAGTGCGGTTGGACTGTCTGGTGCATTGGAGGGGCAGGAGAAAGTAATGTTTAATGGATGGGAAGTAGCCACTTCTTGAAGAGTTTTGAAGGCTAACAAGGGGCTTCTGTGTGATCTGTTGTACTGAGCAGAAATTAAGTAGTAGTACTGAGTGGCATTCTCAGAACCTCTCTTTAGGAAAATCACTTTGTAGATGATGTATTGGAGAGCAGGTCAGGCTAGAGGCAGGAAGAACCACGAGAAGACTCATAACAGTGCAGCAGAAGGTGATGGTGGCCCAAGGAGACCAGAGGGAAAGAGTGTACACAAACAGGAAGCTTTGGCCCCCGGTATGATAGGTGGGTGGGATGAATGAAATGAATCATGGCAAGATTGGTTACCAGCTGTCTGTCTGTTTTACCTCCACAATTATCACATCCCTTCCTTTTTCCCCATTTCATGAATTAGACCCTCCTTCCCTCACATCTCAGTTATTTCGATAGCTTCCTACTTGGACTTGCTGCTTCTGTGCTCTTCCGTCCTTCCTTTCACCTCTCCAATCCAGCCACTTCACAGGTGCCAAAATAATCTACAAAAGTATAAGTGTGACTTTGCTATTCTCCCTCTCAGGATTCTTCAGTAGCTTTCTGTTCCCTCTGAAATAAAAGGATCAATGTGCCACTGAAAGCCCTTTACCATCCAACCTCAGCCCATTTTTCGGATCTGCTTTCCATTCTTCTTTTTGTAGTCTGTGTTCCACCATACTCTCCTGAAATGGCTGTCATTCTGGTGCAGGCCTTCATCACTTCGCCCTGAATTACTGTCTCCCAGCCATAGTTTTCCTCCCACTAGTCACTGACCTTCGTAAAGTTGCAGTCTGACCACGTGCCCCGCCTCCTCAGTAAAGGCCAGTGGTTTCCTGCGACTCCTAGGATCAACTATGAGATACACTTCCCATCTTAACACCACCCTGTGTACTCTTCGATCCAGTGACTCTGGCTCTCACCCCTGCCTGGAATGCTTGCCTTCCCCTCCATGGCCTCTTGGCTTCCCTGCCTTCCCTCAGATCTCAGAGAAAATCTCATCTTCTCTAGGCAACCTTTCCTGATCTCCTTTCATGCTGGTGCCTCCCATCTCTTAGTTTTTTCTAGTTTATCCTGTGTAGAGTTTGCAGGTAGTTATTTGCACATCATCTCCCCGATTTAGACAAAGAGCTCCTTGAGAGGAGGAGCTGTCTTTTGCCTTTCTTTGTACCTTCAGACTTAGCACAGTGCCTGGCACATAGTAGGTGCTTCTCTCACAATTGCAAAGGCTCTAAAACATAAATATATGTGGGCAGAAATACAGTTTATCTTTGTGGTAATCAACATAATTGACTAGTATTATTTCAGGTTGTTTCCTGTTGTTTCTGAATCATCAATGCATGATACATTTGTGCCAACTTACAAGGGTCCAAAAGTCTGAGAAAAATAGATTGAATTAGTATGATATGACAGACATGAGGATTTTTCTAGCATGTTGGAGTGTAAACTGATGGCACGTTTGTTTGTGTCCATTTTGCCCATGGATCTCCCCTTTTTTGTGATGATCCATTTGTCTGTATCAGATAGAGTTAAAAACATTGAGGACTTTCTTGCCCTTTTTTGACCCAAAGATGGACTGATGTTCCTGACCCCTGTTTTCCATGTGCTGCTTCCCAGACAGGCCCAATTGCTGTAATCAATGATGCTGAAGAAGCATGCTGTGTGCTCCTAAAAAGGAGCTTCTCTGAAGTCTATTAATCACCTGAGAGAGGCAAACTGATGTTAATGTTTCCCTCACTTGTCTTGAGGCAGCCTAGAAAATGAAGAATTCGGTGCACCTAATCAGATGTTAGAGGGCAGATGATCAGATGCAAACCTGCTGCTAGTGATAAAATTGAATTTCTCTATTGTCAGTAGTGGTGAGGTTTGAATTCTTGCCCTCCAATGGCCAAAAGGACGTCCATCCTCTCCTACTAGCTACTGTGATAACTTAAGTACATTATTTAAAATGAAAATGAGTATATATTCAAAATACACATAAACTAAACTTCAGAATAAAAATCATGTAAAACTAAAAGGGGGAGGTTCTCAATTTAGGATATTAATTGTAGGTCTTGGCTTACATTATTACTTTTATTCTTAATGAGTGAACAACTTTACCCATGAATTTAAACAGTTGACTCTCATTTTTTCCTGTGCCCTATGGAGATAGTTAGTGGTAGACTCCACTTTCCAAAAGTGAAAGCTGAGCAGTGGATAAAGACTTCTTAGCAGGAATTAGACCTCTCTTAGCTTCTTATCTATAGTTTTTAATCTTTGGTAGAACTAGAGAAGAATGAAGGGGGAATAAAATGTTATCTCTTCCACTCTTAAATTCTTATAGCAACAGTTATGAGGCAGTTGTCTTCTCTAGTGGATATGTGCAAATCCAATGTACAATACTCGGTTTACTAGAAGCATTGTCATTTTTCACCATCTTACCAAATCCAGGTTTTAGTTCTGTAACTAAAATTTTTTTCTAACCATATAGTCCTTATAGTTTCAGGGATTTGTATACAAATGTGCAATTTTTGTTCATTGTTTTATTCTTTTTAAAAAATTCTTATATTTTCAAATATTTATGTGTGTGAATTCCTAAATAAATTACTCAAATAGGAAAAATGGTTAAAGCTGAGACTCTCTGGGAAATAAATTTAGTTTGAGAATCATGGAAATTGGAGCTTAGAGGAGAAGTCTATCTGAAAACTATAGAAAATAAAATGATTTATGATGAAAGTGGTATTGTGGCCCTAGCTTTATAGTATGATACCTCAGTCACTGCAATTAAACTTTATATTCCTTAGGGAGTACTCAAACTGTGAAAGTGGTTGACTTTATTAAGAAGCAAATGGAGCCATTAAAAAATATAATGGCACCAATATTAATATTACACTTTTAAGATATACATACACACACACACACACACACACACACACACACACAGAACAGACACACACCACACACACACACACACACACACACACACACCCTTAAGTATGCAGAGGAATCGCCCAACTAACTTCAAAGTCATCATCTCATGTAACTGTTGTCCAGAAATATCAAAACAGGATTGCATTGGAGGGTGGGGGTGGTGGCAGGTTGTGCTCAGTGGAAGGGAAAGTTTATTATGGCAGTTTGCCATGAGAGCTGACCATTTACCAGAGACCCCTTCTGTCCTGATGGGCTCAGGACAGCCCCTGTTGTGTTTCACTTTATTCTCTGGCCATCTTCTGTTTTTCTGCCTTGATGCTCAGGCCAGAAGCCATGTCCAGGCGTCTAATGATGAGATAGTTAGCTCCAGATCTCTTGCCGTGGGACTCTACTTCAGTCCAGCAGATACAGAGAGCGCTGAGTATTTTATAAGAATCTGTGAGAAAGCACACTAAGCCTCTCCCCACTTGCGTTTTTAGAAACATTGAGAAAGCAGTCTTAAATCATCTTAGTTTAAAGCCCAGCCACTTTCTTTTAAGGAGCTGTCTGTAAAGTCAGAAGGAAAACTGAGATTCAGGGAAATGGACTAAATTGTACTGGACTTAGACCAGGAAGTCACTCCATTCTTTATCGCTATGCCTTAACCCAGTTAGGCTTATGATCATTGTAAGAGAAGGAAGGACTCTTTGATTACTTTAGTTCATGGAAATATTCCTTGGGTTTACCTTTGACCCCAGGTTAAGAACCTCTGGCCTAGAATCTTGCAAAGCTAATCAAAAGCCTTTAACATAAAATGATTCACGTCTGCCAGACTAGAAGCCACAGGGTACATCTGTGTCACAGACAGAATGGCAGGAGAGAGGCACAGAAATTCACAAGAGACAACATCAGAGAAGCCAGCAATAAAACTCAGGGCCTTAGTTGTGTGTAGTCGAGAAAACTGAACACAAGGGGACACATTTGGCCTGAGAATGATTACTGAGACTTGGGGTAAAAGCTACGACCAGATCATGTCTTTGGAATGGAGATACAGTAAAAAGATAACACCTATGGAGGGAAGGGTGCTGACAAGCACTGAGGTTAAGATCAGAGGCAGAAACAGAAGCAGTATTGTCATTGGAGTCTGAGCTAAAAGAAGAAATGGAGGAGGAGTTCAGGAAATCAATGATAAGCCCAGCTTGGAGGTATTATGTAAGTAATGGGGGACTTCACCTGTTTTTCTGCTATTTCAATAGATATTTGTCTTTCCTGATCAGTAGCTTAGGTGGGTGTAGTGAAAAATAAAATTTGCATGAAAATATTTTAGTCATCTTAAATCATTCTGCTTTTTGATATGGACTTCTTAGCTCCTTTTACAGCTACAGCTGTTTAAAGATCATTTGTGGGAAATACATGGGGGATAGGAGGAGGAGTGGGTTTCAGTATATAATTATTTTCAGTAATTACAGTTCAGAAGTTCCATTGGACCCTCTGTTTTCTGATATGACTCCATTATTAATATTTTCACTTTGTGTTCTTTGCCCCTGAATTCTCCTTTCTGTCCTTCTTACCCTCTTTGCCAAGATAAAGTGGGGTTCAGTGAGACAGACAGAAATCGATCAGATTACTTGGTATATATTTTACTATATACTATGTATTTTATTATTATATAAATTTCTCTGTTCTGCTGGATTTTTGTTTTCTTTTAAATTAGCACTATTTAAATCAGTCTGACTGTTGATATGCCACGTTTAGGCTTAGGACTTAATTTGTCCGTTTTCCCCAGGCATTCATATAGATGAGCTTTTGTCGGGTTTTTTGTGTATCTGTAGAAATGGAGGCTAGGGGGAAGGAGAGGAGGGTGATTAGAAAGAAGTTGGAGAGAAAAGAGGGGTGCAGGAAATAGAGGGGGCCTTCGGAAGTAAACCTTTGATTCCCCTAGATTCTTGGAGTCTAGCAGTACATAATTCCGTGTGGTGCCCAGCTTGAGGCCTGTCCTTCCTCACTCTTTTCAGGCCACTTTCCCAGCATCTGCCCTAGGATGTTAACTCCTTGTGCTGCTTCCAGCTTGAGGCCTGGGCTCTGCTCTCATTTTTTCCTGCCTTGCCTCCTACTTAGAGGTTTCCAGGCAGAAGTTAGATAAATACTTTTGATGGTATTTTATTCGTTCCAATTACATGTAAAGACAATTTTAAACATTCTTTTTTTGTAAAATTTTGAGTTTCAAATTTTCTCTCTCTTCCTTCCCCTCTCCCTAAGTTAGTAAGCAGTTTGATATAGGTTACATTTGTGCAGTCATGTAAAACATAGGATAAACACTTTTAGCAGTGTGTAAAAGTTTCAAGTATCCATTGGACTAAGGTGGACTCCAGGATGCCTTCTAACTCTGCCAGCTCTCTGTCCTATCCCCTGAGAGCCCTGTGTCTGCCACGGTGACAGCAGGGCAGTAAAGCAATCTTAACATGTTACTGAGAGAGACAGATGTATTTTTAATGTTTTGATGGTTTGTTTTATGTTAAATACTATTGGCTGTGAAATAGAAAGTTCAAAATAATTATTACAGGGGGCAGCTAGGTGGCGCAGTGGATAGAGCACTGGCCCTGACGTCAGGAGTACCTGAGTTCAAATCCAGTCTCAGACACTTGACACTTACTAGCTGTGTGACCCTGGGCAAGTCACTTAACCCCAAATGCCTCAAAAAAAAAAAAGACAAAATAATTATTACCTTATTTTTAGAAATACAAATTCCAGATTGAACCAGACGTGTTGGAGGAGCCATTAATTCCAGAATCGTTGCCTTTCTCAATTAGCCGTTCTCTGGCTTACTTCTGGATGTCACTTTCCCTTTCTGGTCTTGCTGTAATGACCAACATTGCCCTCCCTTCTTTCCTTCTCTCCTGTTCTTCCTCCTTTTCCTCCCTCCTTCTTCCTCCTTTTTTCTCTCTCTTCCTTTTCCTCTTTCCTGCCTCCTTCTCTCCTTACCCCTGAGATCATACCCTGTACTCAGAAAAGGCACACACTCTTCCATTTGTGTCTGGTAAGCATTTTCTCATGAGATAAGGACTAAAGATATCATGCACAGTAGTTCAGGTGAGACAGAGATGTAGGCAGGTAAGAATCAGCACAGGATGGGGTAACAGGTTGGAAAGGTACTATAGGCAGAGGTTCCCAGAAATGTCTGTTATCAGACTATTCCCCAACTAAATGGCAAACAAGATCTGAATTGATTTTTCTGTGGGCATTATGCTCCTTAGTTTATTTCCCAAAAGAATGACAGGATCAGGGTAGTGCTAGTAAACATATGACCTAACATTTCCCTGGCAGAAAGTTTTGGATTTCAGCACTTCCTGACTACAATGTGCCTTTCCCTCTTAGGCACAAGTTCTTGTCTCTGCTTTTTTGGCTGCTTCGTTTATGTTGGTCTCTCAGCACCATTAGCCCCAACACAATATTTTTAGCTAGATCATTTAGAACAAGGCAACAATCTGCTTTCCAAGTTCTGTTCCCTGCCCCTAAGCCTTTTGCCTTTGTCTGAGATGAGAGGCCATGTGGCCTGGTGAAGAGAGCCACCCCAGCCCCCAAACAGATCTGGGCTCAGATTCCACCTCTGATGTAACACGGTGTCTGGGACCTTGGCTGAATCACTTCATCTCTCCTATTCAGTTCTGTAAGTCACAGAGTCCACACACCTGTGCTGCCCGGAATGTCTTCACCTGGCAGTTCCCTAACTCAGTGAGATTAGGATCCGGTCCCTAACCCCATTCTAATATGTAACCAAAAAACCTCATTTCCTTTTCTGTCCAGTCCTCCAGTAGTTTGTATGCATCAATAAAGGTTAGATTCATAGTATTGGAAAGTATCTTCTCTTTTGATAAAGTAGATGTTCCAAGTACAAAAGTAGGGACTTGAATAGAAAATATTTCTGGGAAGTTTCTTATGTGCCATTAACACAGCTTATGTTTGCTGACCAGTCTTCTCTTCACAAAGTGCTGAGATGCAAAATAGCAACTTGTTGCCATGGTGATCAAGCAGCTATGCAGTTAAAGATAATTGGATGATCTTAGAAAAATACTCAAAAGCAGTGTGCTTAAATGGTGGTAATCTAATTGTTAAATCACATTAAGACAAAACCAGACCCATGGGAGGAAAGTATTATCACTCTGAATTCTGTATGTTTAAGTGTGTGAGGCCAACAGTATGGACAGGAAGGGAATAAGAACAGTGACCTCAGGCTTCACTCAGCTCTCCTGTTTTGACTTTCCTATTTCTCTCTCTCTTTAGCCTGACTAGACGTATAAGTATTTGAGAACCAGCTGCTCCATGGGAGGAATGAAGATTGCCACAGCCCAACACTTGGCACTGAACAAAAGTGTTTCTGTATTAGTATGAACATTGATTTCTAAAATAGCATAATTTTGTTGAGACAGTTAAAGTGTTCACCTTGAGGGTTTTATTTTTTACATTCCTATTAGACATTTTCACATTAGTGATGTTGTAAGAATTAGAACCACCAGAAAGAGGAAACAAAACTCAACAGAAGAGAAAAAAAATAGCAAATAGTATGCTTCAGTCTGCATTCAAATTTCATAGTTCTTTCTTTGGATGTGGATAGCATTTTCCATCATGAGGCCTTTGGAGATGTCTTAGATCCTTGTATTGCTGAGAAGGGCTAAGGCTATCAACGTTAGTCATCGCACAACGTGGCTGATATTGTGTACGACGTTCTCTTGGTTCTGCTCACTTCACTCAGCAACAGACCATACAAGTCTTTCCAGGTTTTTCTGAAGTCAGCCTGTTCATCAATTCTTATAGCACAATAGTGTTCCATTACATTCATATATCACAACTTGTTCAGCCATTCCCCAATGGATGGGCATCCTCTCAATTTCCAATTCTTTGCCACCACAAAAAGAGCTGTTATAAATATTTTTGTACATGTGGGTCCTTTTCCCATTTGTATGATCTCTTTAGGATTTAGCCCTAAAAGTGCTATTGCTGGGTCAAAGGGTATGCACATTTTTATAGCCCTTTGGGCATAGTTCCAAATTGCTCTCCAAAATGGTTGGATCATTTCACAACTCTACCAACAATGTATTAGTGTTCCAGTTTTCCCACATCTCCAACATTTATCATTTTTTTTTGTTTTGTCATCTTGGCCAGTCTGATAGGTATGATGTGGTACCTCAGAGTTGTTTTGATTTGCATTTCTGTGATCAGTAGTGATTGAGAGCATTTTTTCATATGACTGTAGATTCACCTTGAATTTTTAAAAATGCCATTTCTTAATTCTAAAGGTGACCAACCCAACTGGTCCTGTGTCCATTTGCAACATTTAAGTAATTCTACTTTGATCAAGAGCTTCAGGTTCAGGAGTGCCACATGATAGTTAGGCTCTTTGGTTTCTGATTAACTGTGAGTTTCAGCACCATTTTTTCTAATTGACCTTTATTTGAGACCCTACCTTATACTTGGGTGTGAAGTACAGAATGCTCCCAGTACTTTAGAAAGCTAAAATAAAATCATGTAGCACAGAATCTCTGGTTTTAGGGTATCTGTTGTGTTTCAGGATGCACATTCACAAGGTGAGGTGGTGGCCTGCTTGGAGAAGGGCCTAGTAAAAGAAGCGGAAGAAAGAGACCCCCGGTTTCAAGTCTCAGAACCTTGCAAAAAAGCCATTCTTCGTGTGGCTGAGCTGTCCTCAGATGATTTCCACTTGGATCGGCATTTATATTTTGCTTGCCGAGATGATCGGGAGCGTTTCTGTGAAAATGTGAGTCAGCTCAAAAGTGAATTTTTCTCTTCTTTCCTTCTTTTCTTTTTTTTTCCCAGGCCCCCCCCCCCCGAAAGATCAAACCTTCACCCTAAGAGAAACCATTAGAATCTAGATTGGATGAGGTTGGCATGAGGAATATGATAAGGGTTAGTCAGTTTGTTTTCATTGGTTTCTCGTGGCTTCAAGCATTGTCCATGCCACTCTCAGCATACTATTTCTGAGTCCCTTTTTCCTCTGTCATCTTTAGGGATGCCAACTTACTTTATTATTGAATTTCCCATCCTGAAAGAGACCATTTGATAATTATATTCTGATCTTCTCCAAAGAAGTTGTTTTTTAGCTCTTCTTGGCCATCGTTTTGCTGTGTTTGCTTATGCTTGTTTTTCCCTATGCCAGAGTACTGGCAAGCTTATTTTCGTGCCAAGAATTGGGTGGTGCCCTCCAAATGCTTTAGCAGAACTCTTGTTTTACTAGTATCTCATAAAGAATATCTTGTGGCCGCCCTTTGAACAAAGACTGTCAGTGAAATGTGTTTATTGCAGCTCCGCACATAGCTTGAATTAAAAACTGTAACAATCATTGTCATTTTGTTGACTTTCCCTTAGAGGGCTGTAGAAGGATAACTAAATCCAATGTGAGTTAATTTTTTTCTCTTAATTAGCAGTTTTTATGTGAACAAGTGACAGCAGCCAAGGATGGCAGGAAGGAAATTCAGACTTCATTTGCTCTCTGCAGCCCTCAAATCTCTGTGGTCAGTCCCAAGTCCTAACTGACACTAATAGCTGAGCCATTTGTCCAAGTGCACTTGGCATTTTAATGGCTTTAAGGGCAGATTTTCCGTGTAAGAGTGCTGTTGTGATGTGGTTGGTGCTCAGTATAACTCCTTGGTTTATAAATTAGCCTGATTTGGTAAAATGACTAATGTATATTTCCCATCTTTCAGACGCAGGCTGGTGAAGGCAGGGTATATAAGTGCCTCTTCAACCACAAATTTGAAGAATCGATGAGTGAAAAGGTGAGCATGGTTCTGAAATAAGCAGATCTTCCCTATTCTATCTCAAGGACCTTTCCCCTGCTTCAGATACTCTTCAGCTTTCTCTCCTTACAGAACTTGCTCTGATAAACTCATTTACCACAACATGTAAATGACTGGTGAGACATAGTTTTCCCCTGGGAATTCATATTTTATGTAGCCAACACCCCTGTTTGGGGCTTTAACGTAAAGCAGTGAGTGATTGAAAAAGCAGTACTAAGATGGAGGTGTCTTGGACTTTGGAGTGAGAGGATTTACATGCAAGTCCCATTCCTGACTGCTGTTTGTAACCTCAGGCACATTTAACCTCCCTAATGCGAAGTATCCTCACTTGTAAAATGAGAAGGTTGGACCTCTAATGTCCCTTCCTGTTCTAGGTATCAGCAAGACAATGAGACATTATGTGATTTTGGAAGGAAAGGTGGCTTTCCCTAGTGCTAGTGTAATTAGTACAGTACTTACTCATGAAGCCAGTGCTCCACCTGTTCCTAGGTCATTGTCCATAATTTCCAGAAAGTGTGGGCTTAGAAAATCAGGTGGACCAAGAGAACGTTGTATACAGCAACAGCAATATTATTTTAAGAACAACTTTGAGCCAAGAAGACGTTTTGACTATTATAAATACGTAAATTAACTACAAAAGACATATAAAGGAAGATGCTATCTGCTTCCAGAGAAAGAAGTGATTAATAGAAGTATGTATAGAAGGATTTCACTTGCGCACGCACACAGACACACACACACACACACACACACACACTTGTGTCTAATGCTAGCCATCTCTAGGGCAGGGTTGGGGAGAGGAAGAAAAAAATTTACACGATAACTTTTATTATATATTTTAAAAAAGAATAACAAGCTGTACATAATAGATTTACAGTTTTATGTACAATCATCTTTTTTTAATACCATGTTATAGAAATGCTTATCTTATTCCACAAATTAGAAATAAAATAGTTTTTTTAAAAATAGTAAGAAAATCAGTTGGTACTACATGTATACATTTTAGCAGTTATCCCAATGTATATTCAAACTATTTGTTTTTGTCCCTGCTCTGAATATTCATCAGAAATCTTTTGTGGTTTTGAAAATAATTCTCTCAGCTCATTAACATTCTTGAACTGCTTAGGAAGTGATTAACAATATTAGTTTTGTGTATCCTTGTACTATCAAATCTTTTTAAAGATGTAAATCTCCATTTAATGAGTATTCAGATGATGAAACTTTCAGATAGTTATGCCACTTGCCATTTTCATTCTGGTAAGATTAGTGGTAAAGTCATTATGAATGGGTAAAGATGAATTTGTGTTGAGAGCACATGTTTGAGTCTCTCAGGCGTCTCATATCTGTGGCAGCTGCCCCTATGATAGCAAAACCAACTTGTATTTTTCCTCTAGTTCTTGTACAATAGTTTGCAACCTCACACGTTCATTGAACTTTAACCAGACTTGAAAGTAGCCGTTTTGTCACCAATCTCAGCTGATGAAACAACTGATAGTCCTAGTTGTGGATTTGCTTGTTTTAGAGAATACGTGTGGATAGCAGAGTAGTGTGTGTCTTTGTACCTCTTTCCGTTTTCTCCCTCACTTTCTTGCTCCTTTCTTTTTTTCAGTGTCGGGAGGCATTGACAACTAGACAAAAGCTGATTGCCCAAGATTACAAGGTCAGTTATTCCTTGGCAAAATCGTGTAAGAGCGATCTGAAGAAATATCGATGTAATGTGGAAAACCTTCCCCGGTCCCGGGAAGCGAGGCTCTCCTATCTTCTGATGTGTCTGGAGTCTGCTGTACATAGAGGTAGATAATCATGGTGTTTTTCTCAATTTTGTGCCTCTCTCTCCTTTTTGCAAGAAAAAACATTGGCATCGTGAAGGACGATCTCCTCCGGCAGATAGAAATGTAGTAGTCTGACAGCTTGGTTCTGATCTTAGAGACCAGGGTATTTCTTTTCATGCCTGTTCCTTTAGATTTAGGATCCCAGAGCACTAGAAATCATTGCCATTGAAATGAAAGGTTTGCTTTGTTTTAGCTTCATTTAAAGTCCTTTTAGATCAGTGATTCCTAATCTTGGTTTTTGCTACACCTTAATGGTTTCCCCTAGTTTTAAATTTTTCAGAGCCAGTTTGGTTTTATTTCACTTTTAATTTAAGGACTTTGTGACCCTTTTGCTGCAGTGACAATGACAACTTAAGCACAAGTTCAGTGGTATAAGAAATATCATTAGTGGGTAGAGCACTGTCCCTGGAGTCAGGAGGACCTGACTTCACAAGTGACCTCACACACATAACACTCACTAGCTATGTGACTCTGAGCAAGTCCGTTAACCCCGATTGCCTCACCAAAAAACAAAAGAAGAGAAAAGAAATATCATTGAAGAAATGTATGATCAGAAAAGAAGGGAATGAATGGTCATGTGGTGAGATCACAGAGTACCAGATGGACAGGCCTTAGGGTTCCGCTGGTGCCTACAGAAAATGTCATATGGGTTAGATTAAGGATTTTTAAATAGGGGTTAGTGAACTTTAAAAAAAAAAAGTTTGATGACTGTTTCAATATAATTGGTTTCGCTGTAATCCTGTATATTTTATTTTATGCTCTGAAAAACATTGTTCTGAGAAGAGGTCCATTAGCTTCATAGACAGGTGTAGGGGTCCATGACACACACAAAAAAGGTAAAGGGCCCTTAACCTAGAGGAAAGGTAGATTTTCTGTGGAAGCTTGGTGGAAGAACACAGATCCAACCATGTAAGATCTAGAAAATGTAGTAGGTCAAAGCCTGATGAGGAAATTCAAGAAAAAGTCATAGTTTGTCATTTTTCAAGCCCAGGTTGGCTTAGAGAGACGGAGAGAGAGATCCATAGACGTTGGCCACAAGCTTGCTGGAGCACAGGGAACATTCTTGCACCCAGGCAGGGACTGTTCACCAGGACAAGAGAAAACCCTAAATCCCTATCAAGATACTTAGTGCAGGGTACAAAACAGGTACTACCTGGCAGCTTTGTCCCTCACTCCCCAGATATAGGCTGAGGAAGGAGGAGAGGACTTCTTCTTAGGACTGTCAGTCTAGGGTAAAAAGCAATAGCAGACCTTGGGCTGTGTACCAAGAGAAGGGCAGAACTTCCTCACTGGGTAATAGTGACCAAGTCCAATAACAGTCTCCTATTGCCCACACTCAAACCCAGAAACCTGCAGAATGCAGACTGAGGGACAGCAATCAGACTTACTTTAGAACACTGATTTCTTGCAGATCCCCAGTCTGACCTGGCCCTGAGAAACTGTAATAATATAGCACTCAGTGCCCCAAGAAAGCAATCATAAGAACAGACCAGACTTTCCTTCCGGAAAGGTGCCGAATGTGCTCTTAACGTAAAGTCCAAAGTCAGGAAGTATGCTAGAAGAATGGGGGGGGGGAATCTACCATGAAAAGCTCTTATGATGACGATACACAACCCAGAAGAAGAAAATTACTCCAGAACATTTATAAGCAAAACCTCAAAGGAAAACACTGACAAGATGAATTTCATGAAGAGCTTCCCACCACTGAGCAGTAGCCTGTGTGTCGACACACTTCATGTTTCCTGGAGCCACCTGCCTTGGTTAGATGGCTCAGGATTAGTGTTCTCCCTGGACTGTCCAGACATTAGTTTATGTGCTGCTTCGAAGGACCCAGAAACCGTCCCTAAGAGCATTAGTATATTACAGTGAATAGTCACTTCAGAGAGAATGAACTGAAAGAAACTGTCCCTAAAGGGGAAGATGATGACGGACGAAGATCCTGACCCACTTGCCGAGACCACATGTTCTCAGGTCCTGCGTAGGCAGTGTAAACTGTTTGATGTGGTGCGTGAGTGGCAGATCCTGAGAAGGAAGATTCAAATTATGGTGGTTATTAGAGAGAAGAATATGCTGCCGAAGCACACCAACAAGGGCAAGAAGACAGCTCTGCATTTCACACCTGTTACTGCCAAAGGATGAGCCGTGTCGGAGTGCTTCCTTGGAGGTGCTATGGCTGGAGTGCAGACAGAAGACTCAGTAAGGGATTACGGAGACAGGGCAGACACCACACCGACTGCTGATGGCCGAGCATGCAAATGTTGATCGCTGTCACGAAAGGAGGCAACTCGGTTCTCTTTCCATGGGAGGGAGGTGGAAGAAGCGGCACCTCAAGCCTTCCTCAACAAGTGACAGAAACGAGATTTGCACCGCAGCTAGATAAGTCACCGCCACTGGTAGATGTTTATAGTCTTAAAAAAACACAAACACTTAAAAGCCTTTATTAACAGAAGTCGATGGATTCATCTTGGTCTGTAATCCCTCCCACAGCTATATATTTTCTACAAGACAACAGGGTCACACGCTTCCTAGCACAGAGAATTGACAGTTATCAAAAGGTGGGAGGAGAAGAGGATATGCATCCAAGACTGATTCTGCAATATAATATGACTCATATGTTAATATGGGGGGGGTTGGGCAATGAGGTTAAGTGACTTGCCCAAGGTCACACAGCTGGTGTTATGTGTTTGAAGCTGGATTTGAACTCAGGTCCTCCTAAATCCAGGGTCAGTGCTCTATGCACTGCAGCATCTAGTTGCCCCTCAGCCATTCTTTATGATCATAAGGTAGATGATGTCACTGTGTTACTTCAAAGGTGTGCAGTCAGTATAAGACAGGGGTGGGGACCCTGCAGCCTCAAGGGCACATGTGGCCCTCTAGGTCCTCAGGTGCAGCCTTTTGACTGAGTCCAAATTTTACAAAACAAATCCTTTTTTGAAGGGGATTTGTTCTGTGAAGTTTGGATTCAGTCAAAGGGCTGCACTTAGGACCTAGAGGCTTACATGTGACCGTGAGGCTGCAGTTCCCCACCCTTGAAAGAGAGTGCTCCTGTATCACATTTAGCAACTGAATTCTAACTTTCTTTTGTGCTCTTAAGTTCTTGAACCAAGTTCAGCATTTTAAATCTTAATAGCAGCTGTAATTTATGTGTTCTGATGACAGGAAAGTTGTGCTTCTAATCTGATTTACCTTCCTTAATACTGTGACTTACAGCTCTCTTTTATGTGGTTTAGGTCGACAGGTAAGCAGTGAGTGCCAGGGAGAAATGTTGGATTACCGGCGCATGCTGATGGAAGACTTCTCTCTGAGCCCTGAGATTATCTTGAGCTGTCGAGGGGAAATTGAACACCACTGCTCTGGACTACACCGAAAAGGACGGACTCTGCACTGTCTGATGAAAGTAATTCGTGGAGAAAAGGGAAATGTTGGAATGAATTGCCAGCAAGCGGTAAGGAAAGAATCGGTCCGCCATTTTGATGTTACATTTCAGCATTTAAAGAATGCCTTCCTGAGCCTGACCCAGTGTGCACCTTTTCTAGGATATCTGCAAAAGCTCATTGATGTGCACTTGGTTCTGAGTGTCGAATTCAATAGGACTGTTTCTCAAGGCAGACATCACTAAGGACAGGAAATTTGTAGTCACTGGAGTTCTTAATCGGTAGTAGCCATTTTTACCTAAAGATACAGATGGAAAATATTCTTTGCAGTTGTTTTATGGGAAAGGGTAATTTCCTGTTTTGGCATCTTTAAAACCTGTCATCAGAGCCATACCAGCTTCTCATAAATTGGAAAAGGTCCTCAAACTTAAGAGAATTGGCTTGCGTTCATAGTTTTATTGGTTGCTTTCATTGAGTCTGAAAGATTTAGGACAGATAATAGAGGAAACTAATAATTTAAGGAGTTGTTTCCGTTGTTGATGTGTAGTTCTGCTATCTCATTTGGTTTCTCAAAACCCCATCTTTACTGTTAGAAGAAACCAGCTATGCAAGAGAGAACAAAAACATACCCACCCACCAATTTTTTTTTTCTTTTTGGTGAGGCAGTCGAGGTTAAGTGACTTGCCCGGGGTCACACAGCTGGTAAGTGTCAAGGGTCTGAGGCCAGGTTTGAACTCAGGTCCTCCCAACTCCAAGTCTGGAGCTCTATCCCCTGCGCCGCCTAGTTGCTCCTCACCAATATTTCTTGCTATCCCTTTGGCTCTCCCCATTCCAAGGTACTTGGAGTATTTTGGTATTTTCTAAACAGCAAAATTATTCTCAGCATTCTTTAGGTGGGAGTATTAACAAATCATTATTCATCTTGGGTTTGTAGGTAGGTGAGAAATTACAAGGCTGGTAAATCTATAATTTAGATGGCAAATATCAAGGTCTTGTAGCTATAACTCACTTGTGTTATCTCTGTGGCCTACATTTTTTGCTTTTACCAGATAAAGTCTTTTTTTTTTTAAAGCAGTTTGGGATAACAATAGCATCCTTGGGCACCCTGCAGATGAATTAATTTTTCATTATTAGAACCTGAAATTCAAAGGGCAGAGTTTAACTAAATAAATAGTCTAACCTTACTTCTTGAGAAAACATTAGAAAATTTTAATCAGTTCTTTATTTTGAAAATGACATTTTAATTAAAACTTATATGTTACTTTGCTCTTATTTCTGAGCTGTAAACAGAATTTTATGACCTATTCTACTGCACTGATATAGAATAAAATTGTATACTGCATCTTATTTTTTATCTCCTCCTCTTAAAAGTAACATGCTAAATTGGTCTGTGGCATCCAGTATTGTAGAAAATTGGTCTCCTTAGTAAGATAGAAATTGGAAAAATAGGAGACAGTTATAATCTGTTCTCCCAAAATGCCAAGTCAGACTTATTAGGAAGGTTCTTAGATGCCTGTGGTCTGAATTTTTCTTTGTAATTTCTCACTAAGGTAGCCTTGGAACTGTGGGTCAGCTTTTGTGTGCACAAATTAAAAATATTAAAAATACTTTTGGTGTCTGTACATTTACCCCCAGTGTAATAGGGACAAAGGAGCAGAAAAGGATTTGGTTTTAGCTATTTTTGAAGCCGGAGCAAATGTGAAGCCTTGCTTCTTTTTAGTACTAAGTTACATGGAATAATGGATTGTCAAGTGTGTGACTGGACTGTAGTAAAAATCTAATTATTTTCCCTACCTATGAAGAAATACTGCTGTTTCCAATTTGGAAATTGAGCTTTCTGAAAGAGATTGTGACTCAATTTCAAAAATAACTGCCGTTGATTTCCCGCTAGATATTTGTAATAAAAATGCTTTCCAGACACAGAGTGGCAGGAACTTTAAAATTCTCAGATAGCAGCAGTAATCAGTCCCTCGAACTGATAGCACAGCCCTCTGCTTCTCCCCAAGTATGATTATGATTGCTCCAAGACTTGTTTACAGTCAGCGAAGAAATTAAAAGGCAGTGGTGCATTTGGAAGCTCCTAGTGGTATTTCAAGAGACTAGCCAGATGGGAAAACAATGCATTCTCCTTAACTTGAACATTAGGTCCATCTGAGGTGCCCTCAGCCTTTGCTTACCTGTTGAAGAGCAGTGAGTCAACAAAAGGAATTTTCCTTGCTATTTACCTTGCTCTCTGCTACGTTATCAAGCCTGCATCAAAGGTAGAGAGCTGTGTGGAAATGGTTCATTTGGTCTGTTTCTCCCTTCCTTGCTTCTTAGAGATTTCTTTCCTTGGCACAACCAACTTCCATTTTAAATTTGAAGCACCTGTCATTCATTTATACACCCATGTGGCTAACCATTAATTTTAGCTGTTTTCCATTTACTGAAGATGTGATTTAGTGACCTTTCCATAACTGGTAAACTACAAAACATAAGGAAGATTAATATATCTTAATCACATAATGTCCTATTGTACACTGACCCAGAATACATATTTAATCCTCTTGACTTTTAGCTCAGTCCATTTAGGCAAGGGCTCTCCAGAGCCGAAGAAAATGACTTCCTAATCTGTTTTCTGTACTAAACACTTGAGTGCTTTGCCAGATTTCTCACATACATATTAGGGACTAGAGGTGGATTTTAAATCTGTTGGGTAAACAAGCCCTTAGCACTCATTCCCACACCGCTGTCATTAAAATTCCAAACTGGCAGTAATAATCCTTTGAGCTTTCCTGAACTAGGGCATTTATGGTATTTCCCTGCAACGTAAAGAGGTTTTGTCAGTGGGGCGTTCATCTTATCCACCCCTACCTTTGACCATGGCTTGTCTGTTATTCACATGCATTTAACAGACAGCTTTTGTTGGAATTCTAGCATCCTGTATAGATGCCAGACAGGCTACCTTAGGAAAAAGGTATATCTCGTTACCCTAGAAAGGAAGGAAAAATAAGCATTTATTAAGCACCTGTATGCCAGGCAGTGCGCTAAGCACTTTACACATACTATGTCATTTAAGCCTCACAACAGCCTTGAAAACTTTATACTATTATCATCATCCCCATTTTACAGATAGAGAAACTGAAGCAGACAGAGGCTAATGACTTTCTCAGGGTCACACAGCTAGTAGATGTCTGAGGTCAGATTTGAACTCAGGTCTTATTGGCTCCAGGCCCAGCATTCTTATCTATGGGGCCATCGAGCTGACTCTAAAGACATTGTGGGTAAAAAGCTGGACTCAGAACTGGAACTATCTGACGTATTCTTTGTAACCCCCTGTAACTCACTTAAGCTCCCAGTGTTCTAGAAAGTTCTCCAAACCCTCCAAAACTGTTCTGGTTCTGACCTCTGAGAAATGGAACAGCCCTTTAAGTACTTGAAGACAACCATCCTGGCCACCTTGGGTCTGTTCTTCTTGAGGGTGACCAGGCCCAGTTCCTCGGGACCCTTTCCAGCTTATCAAGTCCCTTCTGAAAACCTGGGACCCAGAGCTGGGCATGATGCTCTGAGAGAGGCCTGACAAGACACGCTCACCTTCTCAATGCAGCGCGTAACTGCGTCAGCTTTCTTAGCTGGTGTCACAGCACTGGTCGTGACAGCTTAGACGTGACCTCCAACCTCAAGTGTTCCACTTACTTAGTCAAAAACTCTGAAATTCTTCGTTACACTGCTAATTCATTGACCTTAGGATCCATGGGAACTCCCAGATCTTTTTCAGAGTAGTTATATACCCATGTCTGCCTCATCTTATTCTTGTAAAGTTGGTTTTTACATTTATCCGTATTGAGTTTCGTTGTGTTAGATTCTGCCCATATTTCACTGTGTTAGATTCAGACCAGTGGTCTCACCTATTAGGGTCCCTTTGGATCCTGATTTTGGTTATCTGCTGTATTATACTTCTCTCCTAGCTTTGTGTCTTTAATAGAATTGATAGTATATAATGTTCATGTCATTGATAAAAAAAAATGCTAAACATCCCAAGGCCAAATACTTATCCCTTCTTTACTCCCCTAAAGACCTGCTCCCACTTTGATTTGAAAGCATTAACAACTAGTCTTTGATTCTGGCTATCCAACCCATGTTAAATCTATCTGATTATATTACTTTCTAATCTGTATCTCTCTATCTTTTTCCCCAAGGTACTATGAGAAGCTTTATCAAAAGCTTTGCTCAGTCTAGTTAAACTGTAGTCACAGAATTCCCCTCTGCTGATTTGGTAATCTTATCAAAAAAGGAAATGAGGTTAGCCTGGAATGACCTATTCCTTTTATTCTTTTTTTTTTTAATTCAAAATTTAGACATCAAATACAATGAGCATCTCTATTTATAATAGAACAGAAAAAAAAGAGATCTATACTTGAAGCTGTGAATCTGCATTATATACAGATTCTTTTCTTTTTATATATGTAATAAATTTAACATGGAATTTTCAAAGCTGTCTTCTTCTGTTATTCCTCCTGGCCTTCCTTCTGTTCTCATCTGTACATTTTTTAAAAATGCTTCAATGACACTTTTTTCCTCTTTTGACAACACTACCTCTGTTCTGTCTCTCCTTTCCCACTCTTAGCATAAAGGATGGGGAAAAGAAAAATTTCTATTAAAAAAAAACTACCTTGACAAGTGTACGTAGTTAAGAAATTGACAGTCTCCAGAAATGTATGGCATGACCTGTTCTTGATGAAGTTATGCTGGCATTTTGTGTTCTACTGCTTCTATTTCTAGATGTTGACCATGTCTATTTCCATCTATGTGTCTCCCTCTCCCGTACTCTCTCTATTTCTCTTTCCAAACTCTTTCTAATTATCAAGCATTTACTTACTTTTCTATGCCCTCAACCTTTTCCTCTTCCTTAACCTTATCTGCCTAGAAGAAAAAAAGTACATATTGGCCATGTCAAAAAATAGGTTTCTTATTTTGCAAATTAGTCCATCTCCTCTCTGTCAGGAGGTAGGTATCATTCTTCATTGGGTCTCTAGAATCGTAATTGATCATTGCATATTTCCTAATAATTGAAATCAAGCTCACTGGCCTA